AGGAAGAAGAAGTTGATTCGGCGGAGGAATGAGGAGCTGATCCTACTGCACTACCCATCTGAGTGCTGCTGCTGCTGGTGCTGGTAACTCAAAAAAGGAGAAAAGAAGAGACGCAAATTTTCGAACTTATCTATATCTTTATATAACGACTGTTTACAAACNCGTTTGCCAGAAGAGAGAATCTTTCCTGTAAGCTTTCTGCTAGGCTGATTTCAATTTTTCTGAAAACCGGTTTGCTCTGTTTACAAATATTTGCCTCGTGGCGTGTGCAGTGCAAGATTTGAAGTTTCAAAACTCATTTGTTATATTTTAGAGTAACTTTAAATTTAAATAACAGGTACAATAAAAAACAGTTGAACTTAGTACCGAATAACCAACACTTCGTAATCGCTGAGAGCGCTCTCGCGTCCGGCAAAGGGCACATAAAGAACTCTATGAGTTTGATGCACTTTACCGATAACCCAAGAGCCTTCGTAGTAAGCTCGACCTGCAGAAAGGGATAAAATTATCATTATTGACATTTCACTAAAAATAATTTTCAAAAATAAACTAACCGATGAAGAGGGGCTCCTGGGAGGAAGTGTGACCTCCATTAACTGCACCACTTGGAATAACTCCGTCAGCACTGGGCACCCACTCGAGGGAGCCATAATTCGGACGCACAAGGTACTCGTAGGTACTCGAGTTTTTCTCTTCGCCACTTATGGGGACATACACCACGCCGTGACTAGGAACAATCTGTGATAAAGAGTAAAACAAGTGTGTCAGAAATCATTTGACGATAAATAGCAGCACAATGATCATACCTTTCCTGGGACCAAATCACCATCCATGTGACAACGGCCAACGTAGATAGTTTCGCCTGAATTGGAAAAAGTTTCAGAACATTAGTTTACTTCAAAAAAAGACCAATACTAACCGTTGACATCATGTCCGCCGGCCACTGCATCGTCTGGGACGAAACCATAGCTTGCATGACGCCACTCTGCCATTGTGTTTTGCAAAAATCTGAGACTCGTGCACTACAAATTTAATAAAAGAGAATGACAAGTGACTGTCAGAGTGTGATGATGTGTCGCCGGGTGCGGCCAGAGAGCTTCGGTTTTATAGCACTTCTTTTAGCTTGCGATTGCCGATGCAAAAATGCCGCCGGGTGAGTGATAGAAGGAGAGAGAAAGAGACGTGTCTGGCCAGCTTTGTGCATGTCTGTGTGCCAGGAGTTGTTTGTAAGGTGATTGCTCGGTATATGCGCACGATGATGTGGGAGAGAGAGAGAGAGAGAGAGATTGGGGAAGGGATTGATGCTGGTGATGCCCCTCCTCTTCACTGCAGGATACATCAACTGGAGTAGAATACAATGTGCAGTCCAGGTGATACAGTTACAGTCTGGTAGTGGGTGATCGGTTTCCACGCTGATTGCCACTCAATACTCAGATACTTTGCCGTCATATATACTCAGTGTAGGTGATCACGCTGTTTACCCATTAGACAGGCAATCACAACAACACCGCTGAAGTGGTTCGATTCGCAGGTTCTGTGTGTGTCTATGTGTTGACTGCTGTCGCTGGTTGATAAGCAGTGTACGATCGGTAGCTATCAAATCACCTTGTGATTATCATCAGGTAAACGGAAAACGTCTACTCAGTACTCAGGTAGATAGCTGCTACTCACTAGTACGGGTAGTAACATGGAGCACCAGCCTTGCCGTTATCATCTGGATTATGTCAGCTTTTGGGCGACATTTGCCGGCCGGCAAGTGGCAGGTTGCATTAGCGCCC